CCCGACAACAGTCAGTATCAAGCACTGACGAGCGTGCAGTAATTTTCAGCTGCGCGAAAGAACGCGAAAGAAACAAGCCCACCCAAATTTATCAGTTGAAAAGCAGGAAAGACACCCGACGCTGAGGGGGGATAGCTGAGGGTGTGCGGGGGCATCAACTTGCGAACACGCACAGAGAACCACAGATAATTCGGCAAAACACGGGACAGGAAAATATACTGTACATCGAATGCAAAAGCGGGGCATGGCCCCTCTACCACACACCGAACGCCACCTGATCCAGAGCTCGGCCGCCTTACCCTGCCTTGCCGTCGCAGCACGCCACGCAACTCGTTACCAATACCCCCAACCTAGAACGTGACCACATACCCATCAGCAGACTGATGTTACCTTCGATCTGCCTTGCCGAAGGCATTCAACCATTCTTGCCGCCACGCACAACTCTCTACCAACATCCCCAACCCAGATCGATCTAACCACGCACCCAGTCGCACTGAGCTGCCTCGATCTGGATCGCCGCAGCCTCATTCTTTCCACCACGCAATCTCTCTACCAAATGCCCAGCAGCGCACTGAGGGTAAACCTCCACCAGGCTTGCCGAAGCCACTCAACAATTCGCCACGCAAACCTTTCCAAACACCAACGTCCTCAACCCAGAGTTGACCGCACACTCAGTAGCAGACGGTCTCACTTCAATCTGGCCTGCCAGAGCCACTCGACCATGAGGTCGACCGCAATGAGGATCAGCAAGGAGCCGAAGAAACACCTGGGCAGGAAGCTGATGACGCTGGCGGGCGAGGCCGCCACGGCGAGGATCATGACAAACGACATCGCGCTCGCCGCCCGTGTGTCCACGCCTTCCTCGGCACGGGCGACGGGGGTTGACGGGGGCCGGGGGAAGGGGGGCTTCGATCGCAAAAAAATATTCGGATCATGAGGCGTGCTGCGCTGCGGCAAAAAAAGACACGAGCTGCAGCAGTACAACATTGTACCTAAAATACTACACACACAAAGCCCTCCTCACAATTGGCGATCTCAGTGTGCTGCTCGAAAACACACCTGGAAGAAAACCGGTGGTATTGTAAGCTGGATGTACGTACACCACTATAACCAACATCTATTACTAAAGCGCGCGCCCACACGAACCCATCGTTGAAGGGGCGAAAAACACAAAAATCAGAGCAGCTGCTACCAGCGAGGGCAAGGAGGTCGTCAAACGCAAGGGTTGATGAACTGCTACCCCCGCCCCTCTTTTGGGTAGTTTAACCCAGTTTGATCAAGGTGCTTGTTGTATCGTTGGAGAAAGTATGGTTAAAGTATAGTCCATACGATCCGATTGTATAGGCTGTATTATCATACTATAAATAGTGGGTGACCGTTTTAATTCTGGAGCATGTGGTGTACAATAGAGCATCACATGAAGGTTTTACTATGAACTACAACAAGTTCCAACATATATACTTATCACACTATGGTACTCATACAGCAGTAAGAGGTGTACAAGTTGAAGTACAAAACACCAAATCCTATACAATAACAAATACGAAGTACATAAGTACAATGTACCACACCAATTTCCCTATTGAAATACCATATGTGGTACAAGGTTCCCCTGCGGGAGTTAGGTGATTTGCCTCCCGGGGGCGACGCAAGAGGACATGGCCAATCAATGCCATCAAAGTCGCATGGTTGGGTCATCGGACGTTCGGTAGTGCCGGCTTGCGTGCAACCTGCATACTTATTTGCCTAGAATTGCATCATGTGCGGGGTATCGTTTTCTCCCGCCGTGGCTTTTCGCGTGTCCGTGAGTGTGTGCTTTGAGGCTAGCGGCGTCTTTGCGGCAGGTCCTCCTGCTGTAGTCCGCTGCGTTCGACCACTTACCGTAATTGTCGGAGAGATGGCACCGGGTGCGATCGTTTCTTTAAATGTTTTCTTCACCCACGGTGCCGTGCTCCCCCCCCCCCTGGTGTTTGCCATCGGGGTTGGGTTTTCGTCGCTTGGCAACGACGTTGTAAAACAAGCCGCCCCCCCCGGTGTTTGCCATCGGGGTTGGGTTTTCGTCGCTTGGCAACGACGTTGTAAAACAAGCCGCCCCCCCCGGTGTTTGCCATCGGGGTTGGGTTTTCGTCGCTTGGCAACGACGTTGTAAAACAAGCCGCCCCCCCCGGTGTTTGCCATCGGGATTGGGTTTTCGTCGCTTGGCAACGACGTTGTAAAACAAGCCAATTCACTTCGTGAACTCGGCAACCAGGTTACCGTTTTTTTTTTTTTCCTCCGTTTTTTTTTTTTGGGGGTAACCATAATGGTGGTCGAGTAGATCATGTTGTGCGGGGTGGAGAACCCTCACTCCGCGCAAGGGGGATGATCGCACCACGTTGTGTTAAAATGGTCAAGCACCCTCGAGGCAGTTACACAGTGCTTACAACTGTCTCTGGAAGTGAAAGCACCAGAAAATAAATTAATTCATACGCAGCTGTCATCCGTACGCAAGGAAGTAAGCACAAGATGCCGNAGAGCCTGGTCCGGTGAGAACCCGGCGTGCTCCGTCCCGGCTTTGTAGGGATGCGAGGTCAATGGTCTAACGACTACGGCATGCACGACTATGAGTACCCCCCCCCCCCCCCCCCCCCGCCGGTGCCATCTCTCCGACCCCGGTGCGGAAATGCAATTAAATAATTTCGTTTAGATCTTTCAAGGCACCCCGGTGCGATCTCTCCGACCGGTGCCATTCCCCATGATATACACACCCAGGTGTTGTATGCACGTACCCCGGTGCAATCTCCCCAACTTTTGATACCAGTGTAGGCATACTAACACACACACGGTCTTCTTCACACGCTAGTTGACAAAGCTATTGATCAGAATAGAACCACACGTACGTGTAGGTACCGTTGTTGCTGGATGGACACACACCGGTAACGGCAACGCAAGCTGTTTTTTTTGTCTATGGCGTGACAAGGACAATAAATTGACGTGGTATCCAATCTGAGGTACCGGTACATAACAGTATCAGGCTGTCTTCCGCTTTCGTTTCGGTCTTTTGCTACGGATGGATACCAGTACGTACGCAGCAGTACAGTTTCGTGTTGTGTAAGGTGGGGTAGGGTGCGGCTTGTACGTTGTGTGCTTAGTTTGAGTGTACGGTTGGCAACTTCCATACCAATCAAAAAATGAAAACAGCTGGCATCCCGCCCGCGTGAACCGCGACCATCCAATCGTACGTGGAGGAGTGGCGCTCCGCTGACACCGTGCCCACGTGCAGAAGGTACGCACATGTACCTCGTTCCGGAAGCCGAACAGGAGAGCTCAATCTTGGATTTGGGGGTCAGAGCGATCGCACCCCGGTGCCATCTCTCCGGCCGGTGCCAACTCTCCGACTTTTACTGTGCTCTTCTTGTGTGATCGTGTTTCCTATGTCCTGCGGAACTCTTTCACGCAAACACCGCCAACTAACCAAAGAGACGCTCAACGTGCCCAAGGACAGTCACAGGCGTACGTAGACTGCTCCAGCATCACAACTTCAATATTTGAACTTTTCGATTTTTTCGCAAATATCATGTTTAAAGTGACCGCTGCCAGAGTTGTGTGCGAGAGGACTTCTGTGTCGCATGTTGTGTTCCCATGAGCAACATCAAGAGTCGTGGTCCCCGCTGCGGGTACGCATGCGCCAGTTGCTGTGTGGGGGGTGTATGCACAACAGTCACAGCAGCTGTGGCCGCGTGGCCGCGTGGCGCGGAGCGCGAGGCAAAAACAAAGTTCTGTTTTCAGTTTTCATCCCGTTCGAGGAGGCTTTTATGGTACGGATTCCCAACCCTGAAAAAAAGAGCCAATTTCAGCGACTTGAGGCGGCCCTAACGCGCAGCACCAGTGTCTCGCGAGCCCCACACGTAAACGGGAAATGTACCGACGGGTCCTCTGCGTGCCATGCAGAAGAAAGTGCGAGAACAAACGCTTTCCCAGCAGAGAAAAAAGAACGACACCACCAAAAAAGTTGAAATGCTACATGTTCATAAAAAACAGACCCCCTTCCCTGGTCTGACCCTCGTCCAGTTTCGAGCACTGCATCAAGCCCTGCATTTCACGAACCCCCTAGGCGAGGGGGCAAGCAGCAACCCCATTTGAACACTAACAACCTCACCATGTTCGATCAACATCCCCAAAAGCCTTCACATGCACATGCACCTACCTGCCCGCAGGTTAAATATGGTCTGGCTGAAGATGTAGCTGCCCGTGAAGCCGCCGAACAGCCCCGAGATGACGTTGGACCACCCCACCTTGTGTTGCCGTTTTCGTAAGGGACGAGAAAACACAGCGAAGCAAAAACGCAAACGTCGACACAGACAAACACACCCGAGCAACCGGGGCGGGGGTCAAAAATACGGGAATTCAAAGTCCGCAGCTGCCCCCCCCCCGACCACGGTGAATCTGGAGGCTGGGTCCTCTCGTCTATCTCCACCCCTTGAGTGTAACGCATCGCACCTTCCACGAGGGGTGTGGAACTATTATTTGGTCGCACCTATCCATAATATTGCCTTCCGGTTGGAATCGTGGTCAGGTGCTGTGAAAAAACACATGAACACATGCCCACCAAGGCCCGAATCAGCGGCGACGCGCGCGAGGGCGCCTGGTATATGTCGGAAACAAAGCGAAATAAAAAAAAAAAGCTGAGAGAGATCGAAGCTCTACCGATCGCAGAACAAGACAAAAGCCGAAAAAGAACCACAACAGCATTACCTTGCAAAACCCCGTTTAAGACCCAAACCTTCCTAGGTCGAGCATCGTGCCAGACGCAAGAACAACAGGAACAATCACGGAGAGCGTCGGCACACCGACGCAAGAAGCCTCTGAAGAAATACGAACCACGGGGGCTACGCCGAATCAACGGCCCCCAAGTCAATACGCCCAGCAGGCCAACATGCATTGACTCTCTCTCACTCTCTCTCTCTCTCTCTCTCTCTCTCTCTCTCTCTCGTTCTCTCCCTCTCGTTGGCTGCTCACCGTCTGCAGCTCCCCGTTGAAATCCAGTGGCTTGGCCATCTCCATCTCTATGGCCGCGATATCCAAGCAGCTCGAGAACGCAACGACCACGATCATGGCCAACAGGTTGGGCACAACCTGGGAGAGAGGGGGAATGCGCGCGCGGCGGGGGGGTACGTCCACATACTTTCGTGCCGACGACCAAGCTTTTCCTGTCTCGGGTGCATGCGTAATCACAACCAAGAACGGCCATCCTCTGAGGGGCTCCGCACTCGTGGTAGATCCCCTAGTCATATTCAGGAAATAACGAAGATCCGAACCCAACCAAAGCACAGCCAACCCAACACAAACTTAGCCAACCCAACCCCACCCAATCCAACCCAAACCAAACCGAACCGAACCAACCCAAACCAACCCGACCTCCATACAATCGCCACAACCCACCACCCAACGGCGGACGTCTTGCGGTTCCCGCGAAAGGCATTCAAGAGGTCCAGGAATGCAACTCGAGTCCTCGGGCGTTGCGAGAGAGGACGAAAAACTAAAAATACCCCAATTTGCGACATTGGAAAACCAAAAGGCGGTCACGCACATTTAACAAAGGTAGACATACCACAGCGGGAGGGACATTTCCGCGAGTGTGCCCCGGATTGTATCTCATTCATGAGCCAAATTCACTTCAACAGCAGGCAAGAAGAGCATCGGGGTAAAGCTAGAACAGCGAGTGAACCAGTTACACCTGAGTGGACATTCCCCTCCCCTCAAACCCTCGGGACTCACCCTCGCAAACGCTTCCCAGTGGATGTCTGCGAATGAAAAGTAGTCCCAGGCGTGATTGAGGGGGAGCATCGGGGACGCTGCGCTCACCCACCCGGCAGCTCTCGCCTCCTGCACAAGAAAAAAATCGTGATAAAACAGAAATGAAACGCAGCAGTGCCGGCAGGAGGGGCGGGGGATCGTTCATCCACAGGTGTGAGTTCGGGCCAATCACGCTGAAGTTCTGGGCACGGTACATGGATAAGAGGCCAGAAGGCAGCGCTCAATCGAACGCACAGCGGCAGCATCAGCATCAGCAGCAGCAGCAGCAGCAGCAGAGATTGTGCGGAACGCTAGCGATCTAGGCGAGGTCGAGGCGCGTGCACACGCGCACACACAGAGAGGTTCGCAGGCGTAGCGTGAAAAAAAAAGAAGCCGGACAAGATACACACGAGCGAAAAATGCGCGTGCGTAACCGTCATGATGCTGGAACAACGCTAACCAAAAGGAAAAAAAACACTCATGGAAAATAACAAACTCACGTCGATGGTCGTCCCCGTGACCCTAAGGAACGCGAAGAACGTCCCCAGGAACGCGGCCATGAGCAGCGGCAGCGTGGTCGGAGAGGGGAAGCGACGAAGGGAGAGGTACATCACAAAGCCGGCCAGAACCGCCGGCATCACTAGCAGGAGCGCCTCTCGGCTGGCCAGGACGCCCAAGTCCCCTATGCCGCTGATCTCCAGCTGTTGTTGTTGGTGCACGCAAAGCAACAGATATCTCCACAGATGGTGATGAGTGTATTAGAGGGAAAGCGGGGAGCAGAAACGATTCTCCAGTTCTCACAGAAATCACAGGACGCTGCGTTTGCTTCTTTCTACCTCTACGCACATTCACGAAGCAGACACCGGTCGCCCCGGTGGTCTAGTGGGTAGCCTCGCAGCCTGCTAAGGGCCAGGTCATGGGTTCGAGTCCCGGCAGAGTGAGTTTTTTTTCTCACTAAATGAATCCTGGTCTAGGATGAAAGCGACGCGCTGCAAAGCTCGTTTGTTAGTAAACCATAATCGACTTCGTAAGTCGCGAGGGAAGGGATTGCTGTACCCTTCTCGCGATAAAAATACCTCAGGCATGAACCGCAGGAGGGGGTCCAACCCCCCCCCTCCTATGTGACCCCGGTTGGGTCGTCTAGCTCGTAGAAGTGGAGGATAGGGGCCACAGGGGCAGACGACAGAGTCCAATGATGGGAGAAAAACAAACAAACAAAATTCACGACGCAGCATCACTTGGAGATGTGTAATCAGCCGCAGCGAACATCGCGGCCGCAAGCGACATCACTGCGTGGCTCATTTCGCAGCAACCGTGCGAGCAACAATCGCTTGTGCGATGTAAAACGGTCTTTCGGTATTGTAGGGGGCAGCACAAGAAGGGTGGCGGGGGGGAAATCTTGCCACGAAGATTCGCGATAACGTCACCATGCACTGCCAACATTCAGTGTTGGTCCAGCACTCGTTTTCTGTATCTGCACCGCTGAATATGGAACGGTGGCGTCGAACACACAAGAGATACAGCGTGAGAGAGCAGGGTGGTTATACACTCAATTTGGAAAATACTTGGATGAAAATACAAACGAAAGTTAACTCGGAATGGTGCACCCCTTTTCTCCCCCCTCCCTCTCTCTCTGCACCTGCCTACGTGTGTCTGTCTGTCTGTCTGTCTGTCTGTCTGTCTGTCTGTCTGCTTGTCTTGTCTGCTTGTCCTGTCTGTCTGTCTCCCTCACCCCGGACGCGAACGCCAAGCCCGCCTCGCCGCAGAACCACCCGATGAAGGCCAAGTAGCCACCGATGACGGGCATCGGAAGGTACTGCACGACGCTGGCCAGCCTCAGCCTCCCGAGGACGACGAGTGCCACGCCGAGAAGACCGGTGCACGTGCACAACACGAAACAAGCTGTTGAGAAAAAATGAACAATACAAGACAAAAATAAATATGGCCTGGAATGAGCGCAAAAATCTAGATACACGAGGACACGAGAAGAGAGATGATGTCGAAAATCAAAAAGAACGAAGGAAGATAACACCATAGGTGACACAAGATACCGCAACCCCCGACCGATTCAAAGCTCCACTACTCCAAGAAGAAGAGGATGTCAACTCATACTGATGCGTATTCGGAAAAACTCTCGTCGGGATGGTTCCAACGCCGCCATTTTGTCACCGCTACTCCTTCAGCTGCGGAGCAATCTAGCCTTGAAAATCGGTCCATGGTGTTTAGTATCTCGTGTCACCTACGGAAAACCCCCGCAAAACAGTGAGAAAAGCGGGGGGTGAAACCAACCTTGCAATTTTGAAAACATTATCAATCCTCTTGGGCGAGTCAAGATAGATTGTACGAGCCGAGAGCTATGCCGGGCGAGGGACGATGGCGGCTGCACGCAACTCTATCGCAAGAGCACTACCCCGTCGACAAGCATCACGGTGAGGTAGGCAGTCAGATTTCTTCGACAACAACAGTGACTTGGCGTCACGGCCCTCCCCCTGTGGGGGGTCACATATGTGACGCAAGCGCCACGGTTGGTTTGGTCCCGCCGAGGCGATTTGGGTGTGGGCCAAGCGACTGGGTGATCATCGCGTTAAGGAACGCGACGTCCCCCATATTGTGTGAAGCAATGGTCCTTCGAGATGAACGATACGATGGTACTTAAAGCCTTAACAAGATCACGTGCACGGGGTGTGTTCTCATCCAGCACCTCTCCCGCGCACCTCGAGTGTTCGCGGAGGACAGCGATGTCATGACGACCGTAGGTGACATGACACAAGATATCACCCCCCCCCAGCGAACTGCTTTCAAAGCTCGATTCCTCCACTACCATGGCCAGAGCTATTTTACTTTTACCACAACGTGTTCACCCAGGCGGCATGCATGCTACACGCCGGACCTCATCCAGCCCTCCATCCTAATCCCTCCTCCCTGCCTGTTAGGACAGCGCAACGAGGGTTTCTTGCGGCTCTCCGGTGGCGCCCCAGAGCTTTCGACGGGCGTGTTGCGAAGAACTCAAGAAGAAGAAATAAAACCGCGGTACTCGCCATGTCGCCGCTTGCCGCAACGCTTGAAAAACGACCGCTGACACACAGCCGCAGGGGGGGGGGGCCCCTTACAAAAACAGCTA